CAGTTTGAAGAGCCATATGTGACCAGTCCATATTCTGTTCCACGCAGATTAAAGGCGTCGTTCAACACATTCTGTCTCGTGGCCATCATTAAACAAACACAACGCAGAGATAAAATACGACGGTACAAAGGAAGAGACGAGAACAGAACCACTTCTAGCTGGACCGAGCTGAACAAACAGACGGCCAAGTTCAGCACGGTTACATAAACACTTCAAATTAACATCAATCTCTCCACCACCCAGTCTTTTCCTGCAGGTTATCTAGAATCTAAGTATGTGTACTTGTGTCTATTTATATATACATTTGTTTAAATGTTATCTTTTCCATTTCAGAATGCCAGCAGCAAGGAAAGATCCTCGGTACAGTGTGCAGGATATCATTGCAATCATCCAAGATGGAGAGAGTGATGTGGACGTACCCCTTGATGACACTGATGCGAGTGACGAGGAGTCAGACAATGATCCCTGTGTGCACAAAGAAAACCAAGAGCCGTCTGACTGCCCAGCCAATGTGGACATTGAGCCCCAAGAAAATGAACGCATCATGCCCCGTGACAGATATCGCTGGCAAAAAAAAGGATTTTATCAGTCCCAATACTGATTTTTCTGGTCCACCTGTCACAGACGATGTAACCTTCCTCCACACACCACTCCAATACTTCCAAAAGTTTGTGTCAGAGGACATGATTCAAGCTCTGGCTACAAGTACAAATGAGTACAGCGTTCAAAATGATGGAAGATCTGTTAACACTAATACAAAGGAAATACAGAAAATGTTGGGCATGTACCTGAGGATGGGCTTGGTAAAAATGCCTGGAACCCGTATGTACTGGGAGACAGATACACGGCACCCCCCTATTGCCGATGTGATGCCACGCAACAGATTCCAATCTCTGTTGACAAAATTACATCAACAATTTGACAGTGTCAGAGATTGAAAAGAGGGACAAACTCTGGAAACTCAGACCATGGCTTGAATCATTCAGGGAGAAATGCCTGCAGGTGGTACCAGAAGAGCACAATTCTGTGGATGAAATGATGATTCCTTTCAAGGGGAAGTTCAGCAGCATCAAGCAGTTTATGCGAGGCAAGCCACATCCATGGGGGTTCAAACTATGGGTGAGAGCTGGAATCTTTGGCATGATGCTTGACTTCGATGTTTACCTGAGCAGCAAGAATGGAATACGCGTCAAATCTGAACTTGGATTGTCAGGTGATGTTGTATTGAAGCTTGCCTCCACACTTCCAAAAGGACAGAACTACAAGATCTATGCAGACAACTACTTCACCTCTGTTCCACTGGTAGTGAAGCTCCTTGAGCATGGAATCCATTATGTGGGTACAGCCAGGCAGGTGCGGCTCCCTAACTGCAACCTTGAAGATGAGAAGAGCTTGAAGAAGAAGGGTAGAGGAAGCTTTGACCACAGAGTGGAGGGGACACACAACATCTGCGCTGTGAAATGGTATGACAACAGGGCAGTCACACTTGTCATCCTTCACTGGACCAGAACCTGTGCAGGAGATTCAGCGCTGGGACAAAGCCACCAAAACCTACATTGACGTTGAAAGACCTTACATTGTGGCTACCTACAACAAATACATGGGAGGTGTGGATTTGTTGGACTCATTTAGAGCAAAATACAAGTTCACCCTGAAATCCCGCCGATGGTACATGTACATCTTCTGGCACACCATCACCCTCGCCGTGGTCAACGCCTGGCTCCTCTACAAACGGCACTGTCAGGCTCTCGCGATGCCAAAGAAGGAGATGCTAAACATGAGAAAGTTCCAGGCACAGCTAGCATCCTCTCTCATCCTGGTAAGAATCTATTTCTGCTATTTGTCATGTTTTGCGATATCTGCATGCATTTTTGACACGTGCATGAATTGATTATTAATATTGATTCTTCTCTTTTCAAATTAGATGGACACAACACTCACAACTCCAAAAAGAGGACGTCCATCATCAGGCAGCGGGAACCCAGACGCAGCAGGGAGTCCTTTGACTGCTAGGAAGAGACCATCCTCAGATGATGGGAGTCCAAATT